TCCAAATAACAAATTTCAATTGTAAAATTCTCATTGTTAACATTCGGTAGTATCATATAAAATCGAATTAAAGAATATTACTGCCATTAAAAATTTTTCATTTCAACGAGCATAAATTTTATGTCACGTCGTTGACACTACAGAGTGTGTCCCTAAAATTTTTATATTTGTCCATAAACGAATTTGAAGAAATTTTATGTTATGGGCCTCTAACGTGATAGTCACGTACCTATGAATGTTAACACGACCTCTATGCGGGATTGTCTGACATTTTGGGAAGGCAACTGTATGACTGAGTGCGTACTCCGTTGTGTTTTGTATTTTGCGACTGTTTCTGCCATCATTGTGGTGATCCGAGTTAATGATTGATGTGGTTTACAAGGATGGACAAAATGACTTCAAGATGACTTCAAGTCTTTGAGAAGGAGCGTCGGAAAAGAGGAACGATATCACACGAAATCGCTGCGGTCCGAAACTTTTCTTGCAACGCGTATCGATCTCTCTCCACGGGCAATGCATCTTCTTAGCCTGTCGTGCTATGTTTGTAAACTATTGACCTTGTTTGTAAAAATTCGGTGAAAAATCCTCGATCGCCGAGAAATCACGATCAACAATGGAAATCGTTGGCGACTACGAGTACAACACAAAAGACCTGATAGGCCATGGCGCATTCGCCGTGGTCTTCAGAGGTAGACATCGTAAAGTGAGTCTTCCTGCGTTTCTTTGTTCATTCAGAATTCTGATCGTCAAGAGAAATGATAAAGAGAACAATTCGGCCAGACAATGATTTAATATTGATTGATCGCAATTGAGGACTACAAATAAAAAAGCATGATAAGTCTGTTTGTGTTTTATAATTTTAATGCCTGATGGCTGGGGTATATTTAAAGAAATTTGCACATATTTACAATACAGTACTGATGTATTTACAAGAATTCAAACAGTTGTAGAAATCTTTTATTAACATGTTGTATTTGTTGTATAAAATATTTCGAAATTTTGTCAGCATTGTAACAAGATTCAACTAGCACGATTACATTGATAAAATTTAAAATAAATTTGAAAATATATACATGGAAAAGTTACAAGAATATTTTGTAATTTTTATATAAATTTTCACATTGGTTTCAAATTTTATTAATATAATCATGACTATTATGTTTTATTGTAATGCTAATGAGATTTCAAAATATTTTATATAATATGTGTAATATATACATAAAAATTTTCATAAAGGTTCCAATACTTTTAGTTGAGAATTAAATTCAGATGGAAGTTTCGTTAAAAACCAATAATATAATGTTATGACAATATTTATGAAATGTTCAAGAAAGTGACAAAAATATGCATATAACTAATAAAATTATAAAAAGAAGAGAAATAGGTAATATAAAATTAGCGACATATTGTATTTGAAAATTGTTCTATAAAACATGAAAAGTATGACTTATTATATTGTTTTTCTCATATAATCTTCAATTAAGTATATTAACAATTATATGACTTCCTTTTTCTTTGTAGAAACCAAATTTTGTAGTGGCAATAAAAAGTATCACCAAAAAAAGTTTGGCAAAATCACAAAACCTACTTGGGAAAGAGATAAAAATTTTGAAGGTTTGTAATTTGTAGTTTAATAAGAAGTATGTTTGTGCTATATTCTGTGTTTGTTTTTGGCTTGTTATGAAAGAAAAAATATTTTTTTACATATTATTTACATGAAATAACACTGTAAAATAATTGTTATTAATTATTAATAAAATAATATTTATTATAAAAAATTTAAAGGCAATACATATATCATTTCATAAAAGTTGCCTGTAGTTATGATTAGGATCTTTTATATTTTAATAACAGCTGGATAATGTTTGATCGCTGACTAAAACATTATGTTTTAGGAACTAACCGAATTACATCATGAAAATGTTGTCGCTTTATTGGATTGCAAGGTTAGTATAATAAAAATTAATATATAATGCTTATATTAGTAATCATTAAATATTTTTAATTTCTTTATAAATGTTATATAATAGTATTAATAATGAATTTATTATTTAGGAATCTAATTATAATGTCTTCCTGGTTATGGAGTATTGTAATGGCGGGGATTTAGCTGACTATTTAAGTGGTATGTTTTTTTATTAAAAATTGTCTTATTAATCTTATTGAATATCTACATATATTAATTAATCTTATATTGAATATCTACAAAAGCTAAAGTTCAACTTATTTATTTTTATTTTTTTTTTTTTATTTATTCATTAGCAAAAGGAACTCTTTCTGAAGATACTATCAGAGTGTTTTTAAAGCAACTAGCAGGTGCAATGAAAGCACTACATGCCAAAGGTGTAGTCCATAGAGATCTTAAACCACAAAATATTTTGCTCAGTCATAATTGTGGCAAGGCTTGTCCACAACCACACCAAATAACATTAAAGATTGGTAAGTATTTATTTTTGCATGAATTTATTCAATTAGAAATATAAATAAAGATAAAAGATTTTAAAATATACTTTTTATATTTCAGCGGATTTTGGGTTTGCTAGATTCTTACAAGATGGTGTAATGGCAGCAACATTATGCGGTTCACCAATGTACATGGCACCAGAAGTTATAATGTCACTTCAATATGATGCAAAAGCAGATCTCTGGTCTTTAGGAACAATAGTTTTTCAATGTCTTACTGGGAAAGCTCCATTTCAAGCTCATACACCTCAAGCTTTAAAATTGTTTTATGAAAAAAATGCAAATCTTGGACCTAAGTATGTTAAGCAATATGTTTTTTTTTTTCACCAAGAAACAAAAACTATATTCATTTTCTTTGGTGTTTTAATTGCTTATATTTTAGAATTCCACCTGGAACTTCACCTGAATTATCAGATCTTTTAATGGGCTTGTTAAGACGTAATGCTAGAGATCGTATGCCTTTCGATGAATTCTTTGGGCATCCTTTCCTTCAAGGTTCCAGGGAAAATCCAAGTCCTGTCCCTGCTGAACTTCCTGCTTCTCCAGGAACACTAGCGATTCAAGTGGGAGTTGCAGCTGTTACAAGATCAGAACCAGAAACTAGTAGTCCGTGTTCCAGTCCTGAAGATGACTTTGTGCTTGTGCCAAGTGATCTCAGTAGTGACACAGACAATAATACCAATACACAAGTAAAGTACGTAGTTTAATAATATAATCTATATAAAAAATTTTTATTTATTATGTTTATAATATTATTATTAACTGATTAGGTATATCAAACAAACTAGTAGAGAAGCAGTGAGTCCACCACGACCATGCTTCCTTCCCATTTCGGAACCAATTCCTGTTCCGTCTCAAAGAAGTATTGCACAACCGTCATCTCCTTCTACTAATGTAAGGTCAGGAAGTAGTGTTGTTCCTCGCTCTCAACCTATAAGTATGAAACGCAGTGTGGATACGCATAGGAGTCATGCCCCTGATATTGGCTCTCTTAGTCCACCTAGTGTTCAATTTGTCATTGGTACACCACCCAATAGAAGGTACAATACAAACTCTATTCATATAAATTATTTTATATGTATGATATATAATTTTATGATAATATTTAATTTTATTGTATAATTTTATTTAACTGTGATTATTTTCAGATTAAGTGAAACACCTCCACCGCCAAATACATGGCAAGTTAGTCCTGTTGCAAGGCATTCACATACTTCTAGTGGGACGTCTCCATTACGGCGTTCGACTGGAAATAATAGTGCATCTTCGCCATTACTAACAGGGCCATTAGCAGTCTTAGGTTCTCCTACATCGAGAGCATTTCAAGATAATAACAACACACTGAGACATTCGCCAGTTATTCCTTTTGGTACAAGAGCTGTTACTCTTCCTGAAATATCTGGTGCGTATTTTATGTTTGTATTCTAACTGAAGAAATATTTATACTAACTGAAACGTATAATTTTGTATTTCTTTTTACATTAAATTTACAGAAGCGGGTAGTTTCCAAAATCTTTTGCCAGAAGTAAATCCTACGATAACAGATGATCGGCCATTGACGTTCTTCGCACCCGAACTTCCAGAGGAGACGCTTTTAGAACGAGAACACAACGAAATATTAGCAAAGTTAAACTTTGTTGTTGCATTATGCGAATGTGTATGTGAAGTAGCAAGAACAAGAGCAGGACCTTTAGGTGCACCTTTGGGTGGTATTGAGCAAGCAAGCACTGCTGCAACGAGAAGAAGAGCGGAACAAGTAATTCTACTTGTCAGAGCTCTTCAATGGCTCAGTTCTGGATTAAGTCTTGCAACTCAACAATTGAAGGCTGGTCGGTTGCAGCCAACTGCCACCGTAAAAGAGGGTAATTTTTGTTTATTCTAATTACTACATATAAAATATAATAATATATGAAGATGATTATATTTCAGTTGTGAACACAATGAATGAAAAATTCAGAACATGTCTTGCTGAATGTAAACAGCTTAATAGTGCAGGGCTTCTTCATCAAACTGGAGCTACTGCAGATAAAATTTTGTATAATCATGCCATTCAAATGGTAAGTGTATGGTTAACTTTTTTTTCTTTTTTTATGAATTTGATAAATTTACCGAATTGTATATGTTAATGTATATGTATTTATAAAGAATTAATTTTTTCCAGTGTCAATCAGCAGCACTGGATGAATTGTTCGGTAATCCTGCAGAATGTTTCCAGCGGTATCATACAGCACAGATATTGCTCCATTCTTTGTCACAACATGTGAGCCACAGTCAAGATAGAGCACTCCTTATTAAATGTAACATATATATATATATATATTTTTTTTTTTTATTGTGGAATGTATTTTCTTACTTTAATTTATTATTTTATTATATCTCATTCTAGATAAAGATGCTGTTGAAAAACGCTTGTACGTACTTCAACAACAAGGTTACATTTACGCAACTGATCCTACATAGCGCTTGTGAAAAATGGCAGCTGAGTACAGTGACCCGCCCAAATCTGTACCGTGCTCGATATCTCTTTTCTGTAAGATATTCTGCCCTATTCTGTATAAAACCTGTTAATTCATTGATCATAACTTGCTACAAAGATGACATTGTAGAAAGAAACAAATTTAAGATAACATATATAATACAGTTTGTTAGATCTTATACAGAATAGGATAGATTACTCTGCAGAAGAATACGAAAGTGATTCTGTACAAGTTTCTTTATATGATTTATTAATGATACGAATAATGAATTATAATTATATATATAATATAGATATTATATTATATATATATTGTAATGTACGTAATGGTTGATTAACTTTATGACTAACCTTTATTTCATATCAAACAATAAACATGTGTATACTAATAGCATTGTGCGTTCAATGCAAGGCACATTTCTTATTAAATGGTAATGATATAATAACTGTAAAAAAAATAGAGTAAAATATTTTCATTAGGTGATCTACATTAATATTGTTTGCTACAAAAGATTCATCAAGTACATTATTTTTTTTTTTCATCTGCAGCTGATTCGATACTTGGTTTGTTATTCTTATAAATTGTATAGTTCAATGCTGTAGCAAGAGTAGTCCATGCTAAATATGGAATAATCAAATAACCAGCAAGTGGATTCACATGATAGAAAGATACACCCATTGCTACAGTGCTTCCCCACAAAAAAACAATTTCATATAAAGCCTAAAAAGTCGTGAAAAAAGATAATTAGAAAGGTAATTAAAACTTATAATATGTTTATTTCTATCAAAATACCCATTTTATCTCGTGTAATCCAAAGAATAATGGTGTCCAAGACCAATTTAATATTAAATTAGTTCCATAAATAGAAAGAGGTACTATTGCTTCTCTAAAACCACCACCATCTTTCCATACTAAATATGAAGAATATCCTATTGTGCAATAAAGAGTTGTCCATGCTGGAGCAAATGCCCAATTTGGTGGAGTCCAAGATGGTCTTTTCAAAGACTGTTAAGTATTATCCAAAAGATTTATTATTTGATTAAAATTAATTTTATTTGAAAAAAATTTTATTATAATCTATTAATCACATATATATGCAATTTATTAAAATTGAGTGAATTTTTTTTAATATAAAAATAATGTAGTCATTTTATTAATATTTTTTAAGTTACTAGATATATATAAGATTTTTTTTTAAGAATATGTTATAATAAAATAAAATGCAAATATATGATTTAAAAATAAATTTTTAGTAATTTCATAGTAATTAAACATTTAATGTCGCTTTTTATATACATTTTCTTATAAATTAAATCTATCAGTTAAAATTCTAGATTTTATATTATTATTGGATTTGAATGGTTCTAACGATTAATCGATTTAATTACCTCATACCAGGGTTTAATATTTTTTCTAGTGAAGTAACTTCCGGCCCATCCTCCTATATTAGGGTGAATAACAGCTGCCACAACTGGCCAAGACACTTTACATACAGGCATTTTACTGAGAAAAAAATACTGTTCAACTATTTCTAAGTATCTTAATGTCGATTGCAAAAAGTAGACATGAAAATCTTTGACTCTTTAGACTACTATCTTTGTGACTGACGTTTTTCCAATAACGTAACTACGAAGAAACACTATCGGCACATTTACACATTTTTAGTATTCGTTATCATGTACATTGGTAACAATGAGTATGAGTGAAATTGCATTGTCACGAACAGTTATGCAATGTAATGCAATTAATCTTTCTCATGCACAAGATTGAAAATAAAAAAGAAAATAAAATGTACTAACATAATGTAATATAATGTACTAATAATAGAAAAAATAATTCCATTACAAATCGAATGTTCAATATCTTTTGGCAGAATAGATTGCTGTTTTTTTCGTATAAAATTTAATGTTAATAAATGAGGATTTCAATTAAATTATTCAATAACATAATTCTTTATGTCAAACGATATTAGATATAAGATTATTTTATACTATTAATTTTCTACGTTGATGAAAATATAAACACGAATATATATGCAAGTGTGCGTATACATATATTATTGGAAATTTGTTTTTATTTAATATTAGGCGTGTTACATATTTCTATTTACATATATAATTTAATAAATATATTAAAAACAAAACAAATAAATTGTTACATAAATATGCGATGTGTCATGCATAATAAATGACTATTATTTGCAATATGAGTAGCTAATGAATACACAGGTGTGTGCGTGAACATATATTATTTTGATTAAATTATAATAGTACATGTAATGACACGCACAACGTACACATATGTACTTACGTATCTTTATGTGAATATAATTTTATAGATAAAATAATTTTCCTTTTTCTCTTAGTAGAAGATATACTTGTGTTTTGGAGTAATAAAAATTTTTTTATGTACCACTTTCAAATTGTAAACTTAAATTTCAATAATACTTTAGTAAATATAAAATATAACATTCTTAAGAACCATTTAATAAATTTCAATCTAATTTAATAAGTGAATAAAAATTAGATAATTTTTTTACATGAAATTGGCATATTAAGAGAGTGCACAAATATATTTTAATTTTATTTAAAAAAAATTAATAAGCATGTCTACTTTCAAAGAATTCATTTCTATATTGCAAGTTAATATATTTTATAGATAATGAAAGTGATAGAAAGATGACAATACATGGACGAAAGAATTTTAAAGTACTTTGTTTATTTCTGGTTTGAATTCTTTAGACTTATTTTTTATTTTATTTGCATTTTTCCATTGTTTTTCCTTCCCAACATTTGCATTTTTCTAATGCACATTAGTGAATATTTATTTCACATTTAATCTTTTTATCATATTTGCTCTCATCAATTTTATTTTATTCGCATTTCTGAGCTTTCACGTCCTTTTCTCCATTTACTTCTTTTTTACGTTCAAGTTTAGAGGAAAACACTCCAGCAAAGTGGTATTTTACGCGTTCTCTTAATTTTTGACGAATTACCATAATAGTTGTTATTGTATTGCCTAGGAATAATACCAAGAACATGCCACTAAGAACTGGGACATGCCATGTAGCTTCTGGATAGGATATTAATGTGAATAAGACATATGCATTGTATAACTGAAATATATATCCAACGAAAAGGAATGGCAATAGAAACGATAATCCACGCCACATCCAAGAGTGGAAACCTTCGATTGTAATATCCATATTATGTCTTTCACCTAATGCTTTCAATCGATATAAAACACCTCGCTGATAGAAAAATTGCAACGACTGTACTACACCTGTAAAAGGAACATATTTTACTTCGATGCCAACAAAAAAAATTATTACAAAATTCCAGATAAGTAACATACTGATATAAACGTTGAACCACATAAATTGTTGTCTAAATGCATACCATGGCCCTGTATTAGGCCAAACTAATAAGACACCAGATACTACAGTTGAAAGAAAATGATGAAATCTCCACCAACCTTTTATTCTTGAACCATTTACTTTTAATATACTTTCTCTTATTGTCAGTGTACAATAATACCAGACTAAAAGGAACATAAAACTAAGTTCCAAAGTTCTGTAACAAATATTACCAATGATGTTCATATGTGACTATTAAATTTTTTATTTTATTACAGAATAAACAATATATATTACCTGATATTAGTTACCAGATTTAACACAGATAAAATAAAACCAATTACAGAAAGGACCAATTTAAATTTTTCATATTCGTCTTTATATTTAAACCTGAAAAATAAATGAAATGTTGTGTGTATATTCTATAATATATGTGTCTTGAATATGTCATTATTACTTTCATTCTTACTTATCATTTTTGTTTAATATAGAAACATTAACATTGCCTAAAATAATTTGAAGATATGTGCCATTTGGTTTTGGTAAGATTTGTTCCATTTCATGTAACTGTTGCTCTCTTTTAGCCATCTCTTTGTTTAAACTTTTTTGTGCTTCGCTTGCATGTAATCTGCAGTTGTGAGAAAACGCATTTAATTGTTTAATAAAAAATAATTAATGAGTATGAAAACATTATAACTAATTACTTACTGTTTGAGTGATTTTGATATTACACTCATCCGGTATTTCTGATGAGAAATTCCTTTTAAACATTTTGCTTGAAGTTCTCCTACTTCCTCTAATTTTGCAAGATATTCTTTGTTCAATGCCTATTAATAAAATTAAAATGTTACCATTCTAAATAAAACACAGCGTAATGCTTAAAATACTTCACACAATATGGAAAAATAATTGTAATGAATGTATTGATTAAACAACGAACAATAACGAAAAGAACAAAGAAATGTCCCGCGATAATATTTATAACACATTTATGAAAAGAGTATTTAAATTTCACGAAACGTTACGTAGAAATATTTTTATACACTGGTTTTTTTTGCGAGTATTGGATAAATAAAAAATACACTTAACCTCACAGAAAATGGTCCAACGTGCAAATCACTGACAACCTCAGTACCCAGGATTAACAAAAAATTATCTTACTTCTAGTTCCTTGTAATCTTGTACTAGGTCGTTCCAGTCTTTTAAACAGGACTCGACATCGGTATCCATCGCAGCAAAAAAAAAGGGACGATGACCAACGACTCACTAAAATTCAGATACACAACGATTTTTCGTGTCTAGTCAAGTACTTCCTCGTGCATCCAGCGATAGAGTGCTCTAAAAGTCGCTTCTTCATCGTCCTGATCTTTAAACTTTCAACATACGATAAGAATACAGTATTCGAACATTATGTAAAAAGAATTAATTTAAATTAATTAGTAAATTTAATTCAAAATTGAAATTTGCCTAAGCGGGTATTTCTAATTTAAAGTGTATTAATTTAATACGTATCTTTTTCGAAACATTTTAAGTAAGTTTTTTTTTAACATAGATTTTTATAAATCCAATAAAAGATTTCGGACAACAATTTTGAATAATATTCATTGGTTCCTATAAATAGACAAAGTTTTAATATTACATCGAATTTTTTAATTTCTGTTTTTAATTAGATCTTTTTAATTGTATTTGGATAGTAAAAAAAATTGATTATTTTATTTTCATAAAATAATGAATTAAATATTGTAGTTGCTAAATTTGATGAAATATATCTGAATTATTTCTCATTAAATTTAGATGTTCCACTAATGTCCATCTTATATAATTTAAGTGATAATAATATCATATACATTACTCATATTTAGTTACTTAATTGAAATATAATTTAAATAAATGACAATAAAATTAATTTATTGCCAGCATGAATAATTAAGAAATCATATAGTGAACAACTAAAATAAAAATTAAGAAACAAAAATATAATTTTATCTAATTTTAAACTTTAAAAATATAATGATTTTATATTTTGGGATATATTCTGTATGTTAAGTTATAAACATATAATATACCTAAAGGACAAAGATCATTAAAACTAATATTGCCCTAAAATATTGAGGAATATTGATTTCTTAATATTTAATTCTAATTGACCTCGAACACATATCTGTTCAACTTATATCATAGTGATTATATCATAATAAATTAGGAATTTAAATTCGAAGTTTCTGGATTATGAAACTACTCGAATTGCTATTCTGACAAATTATCAATCACTATTTGCAACAATACAATATAAACGATATAATATAGCCAGTTAATTTAAGCTGTCTCCTATTGTATTATTAAACATTAAGTGAATTTTTTCATGATCAGACAACTTCACCGATCTACAAAGACAAAGTACTTTGCATTCTCTGGTAAACAGGTTCCTTTATATTCAACCATCGCACTTTATTTCGTCTGTTCAGCATTGATTTTCTGACAGAATGCGTGAAGATCATTACCTTCGTGGACTTATTATTTTATTTATTATAGAATACACGAGCATTTCTTTAGAGATGTTAATTATTTTTAGAAATCAGCGCTGATAACATAAGTATTCTAAAACAATTTTTAATAATAATAAAAATTTTCTTGTTTGGATAGATGATTGCAATTAATATATCTTTATAATATTCGTATGTTAGTAGTATTTTTTTCATGTTTCGTTACTTATTGTAATTAGTGAACGTTTATAGATAATATCTTTCATAAAAAAAAAATAACAAATAAAAATAAAAATAAGAATGAATTTTATCAGTGATTATTTTTTACAATGGAACTATTTTGCCTCGGTATATACAAAACTTAGATATTCCGTTTCGTTTCGTAGTATACAACGGAAAAATACAAAAATAGATGGAAATCAGATGCATTGAATAGAGCGATAGCACAATTTGTAAATGCTATCACTCTGTTCAAAATTTATTCAGTTTTATAAATAGAATATCTTTCCTCTTTATCTATGTAAATTATGTTTTGTCATACTCTTAGGCTTACTGTATTTTCCTTGAGAAAGTCTTGTATAAGTCTTTGGTACTATTAAATATTGATAACTGCTTTTTATACTTTTTGGTTAAATTTTAAAACCTGAAATCATAATATAGATTGTATTAAAATTAATAAATATTAAATTTCAACTGATTCAGACGTTAAACATTTTAGTAGTAGTAAGTAGTAATAAATAAGTAGTAGTAGTAGTAGTATGATGTAAATATAATATAATAATTATATATTATATAATAATTATATTATATTATATTATAATTATATTATAATATAAAGATGTTAAACATTTTAGTAATAGTAAGTAGTAATAAATAAGTAGTAGTAGTAGTAAGTATGATGTAAATATAATATAATAATTATATTATATTATATTACAATTATATTGTAATATAAAGTAGCATTAAATTTGTTCATATGTTTGAATGAAATTTTATATAGCTCATAATCCTTTATTCTTGGAACCTCACACGTGGTCCCCCACTCCATGTAAGAAATTTTAGTAGGAGATTTAAATATCTTCGAAACTGTTAAACAGCGTGCAGTAGTCGGGCGGCATGGGCTCGGGATAATCGTGAGAAAGTATCAGTGTTTGTATACAGTTGAAAAACAATCTAGTAGTGTCATACAAAAAATTATAATCTCAGAGTTCTATTTTAAATAATTTTAATGGCTTGGTTTCTCTAAAGATAAAAAAAGATTTGCCGATTTGATTCAATAATAATATCTACAGAGACTGAATGACAATAATTAAAGATAATTGTCAATAAATATAATATTAGTGAAGAGAGTTAAACAAATGTTAATATTATAGATACAAATATCGTTCTACAATACATACAAAACTATATGATTTATCTATTCTATAAAATTTTCATTTTTTTTTAAATTACTTTTATTATAGTGATTGTCTATTAATTGATTCATATGTATAAGAATTAGAAGTACGTACCAAGGGAAATATTATTATGCATTGTCAATATATAATGTACGTTCGTTGTTTCTCTAATACCAGCAACTTCTAGATATCATGAAATTGTTATGGGATACACACATAGGCATCCTATAAAATAATGTATAAAATAATTGTGAATGACTATTAAGATAATAAGGCAACTGATAAAATTGTACAAACGGTGATTTATGCTAATCGCTCGTTCTAATATTGCTAATCTCGACGCCACTGTAATCGGTTTGGAAATAAGAACATAGTGAATCACAAAACGAAGGAATTCTCGTGGAAGAAAGTGGAAACCTGCAGCGGAGGGGTAAACGGCTTCTAGTTAACGGTCATAGTAAACGGTATTCGATCTTCTTCTTTGCGTGTCTACCAGTGTTTTATAACTACCGTGTAACTCCAATATCTTCCATGAATTCCGCTCTTTTTTACGATTCCTCACTTCCTGTTACCGTACCTAGTTCCGGTTACCGGAACCGGAAACCGCAATAATTGCTGAGGTGTTTGGAATAAAGTGCAACCTGAAAGGCATTCTCACCGTGAGAGAATTAAATAATCGATCGCAGTGTCGGATTTAATGCGAGGATCAGCATTAAACGCAATGATCATAGAAAAGATACTCAGATCGTCGCTCTGAATTGTCCGCCAAGTGTTATCATCGAATTGAACTCGAGTTATCAAATATGACACCCAGAGAAAGAAAAGAAGAGCCCCTTTAACTGTGCCGTTAAACGATTCGCATTCCGATGAAGTCATTTCTGAGATTTCGATGAGGAAACGTTTTGTCTGCAAGAGAAAAAGAAAAAAAGAGAAAGCAAAGTTCAAATTTTTAACAGGAACTCTGCAACGTATGTTTATAATTGTATTATAAAATAACGTATCGTTGAAACGTATATTACAACTTATCGTCGGTGTTCGATGGTCGTTGGGTTTTCTTTCCGCATTAACGGCAGATAAGAGAGAAAGAAAGAGAGAGAGAGAGAGAGAGAGAAATTATGAAGCTGAAAGTTGCGCAAAATGTTTTGAAAACAGGCAAATCTGCTAAAGTATCTGACGGCGTTAGCGCTGCGAAACACTGTGTATCCGGTTGCGGTTATACTGGCGCGACGCAAACACCAAGGATCGATGATCTCTCCGATATCTCGAAATCCATAGATGGCGCGAATCGATCGAAGGAGTCAATCGTCGAGAAATCGCGCGACAGAAATTTTGCTACAGTTGCGGTCACCGCTACTGAAACTATTGTGCAAGAAGCACCAGAGCCACGTGGTATTCCCGTTTTCGGAACGCTTCTGTCGTTCATTCTCTCCGGTGGTCCAAAGAGACAACACGAATATGTTGACAGACGGCACAAGGAATTGGGCTCAATTTACAGGGAACGCCTGGGACCAATTACAGCAGTCTTTGTTAACTCAACCCATGAATTTCGAAGAGTATTTAGATTGGAAGGATCCGCGCCGAAACACTTCTTACCGGAAGCTTGGACGCTCTACAACGAGACGCGGAAATGTCGCCGTGGTTTACTGTTCATGTACAGTAATTTTAACTTCCCCTCCTAAAAAAAAAGAAAAAAATATAGCTGTAAAAATACGAGAAAAAATAGCGTTAAAAATACGAGATGGAAAAATCTCTGATTTTTATTTTTTACCAAGGCAATGTGTGTCAACAGTGTATAAATGGAATTTTAAAGCGAAATTTCTGTTTTAACAGGGACGGCGAGGAATGGATATACTTTCGTAAGATTTTAAATAAAGTGATGCTAGTGCCAGATCCAACAAATTTAATGTTTCAACCGTGTCAAGATGCGGCTGTTGAGCTTAGGGAAAAATGGCAAAAACAGATCAAGACCGATGCTGTTATAACGAATTTACAGGTTCAACTTTATCAATGGTCCATCGAGGGTAAAAATAAATTTCATTAAAGTCCAATTGAGATTTTTTTTTTTTCAGTTGAAAATTCAAGAAATATCTATAGAAACTTGTTTCTTTTCTTTTTTCTTTTTGCAGCAATGATGGCCACGTTAATGGGATCGTGTTGGCATTGTTATAAGCAACAGCTATCTCGAGACTTCGAAGTATTGGCGGAGGTCTTGCATAAAATATTTGAATATTCAGCTAAATTATCTGTGATACCAGCTAAGCTAGCTATGACTTTACGCTTTCCTGTTTGGAGGAAATTCGTCGCGTCTGCTGATACAGCGTTTGAAATTGTTCGAACACTAGTACCAGAAATGACTAAATTAGGCGGCGACGGTTTATTGAAAAAAATGATGGACGAAGGTATCCGAGCTGAAGACGCAATCTGCATTGTTACCGACTTCATTTTGGCAGCTGGTGATACGGTTAGATCGAATATAGTTAAGAAAATAAAAATTTGCATTTAAAGTTTGAATAAAAAAATCTCTTTTTTACTTGAATTTAAAAATTAATAAGCAACGGAATAAGTAGCAATGAAGTTAAAGAAAAAAATACTAAAGAGAAAATTAAATCGTATTTTAAGAATTAAATATTTGTATGATTTGATTCGGTTAATGTTCATGTTATTGCATTTGTTAATACTCGAAAATTAATTCTGTGTTTTGTATTCAGACAGCGACCACTTTGCAGTGGACATTGCTACTGTTGTGTAATTATCCTGAAAAACAAGAGGAATTATTTGAACAATTGAAGGATCTTCCGCAGAGGAATTTATTACGCGTGCCATTGTTAAAAGGCGTAATTAAAGAATCTCTTCGACTCTATCCTATAGCTCCATTTATATCTAGATATTTACCAAAAGACAGTATGATTGGTAATTACTTTGTACCAAAGGGGGTAAGTAAATCTACATTACATGTGTTATTTACAATAAATAATAAAAAGAATATTAAAAGGCAAATACGGTGTTATAGGAACTGCTCGTATTGTCACTTTATTCAAGTGGTCGCGACGCAGCGAATTTTTCGCAACCAAATGAATTCCTTCCGGAAAGATGGATTAGAACGGAAAAAGGTACTTACCAAGGTGTAATGCATCCACATGGGAGTTTACCATTTGCTCTAGGTGCTAGAAGCTGCATTGGTCGAAAACTGGCAGAAATACAAATATCGCTTGCATTAGCAGAGGTACGAAAATAATGAAATTAAATCAACATTTACTGAATTTATTTGATTTTATCTTTAAAAATTGCAGCTAGTTAAATCGTTCAAAATAGAATGTATAAATAAGGATCAAGTGAAATTAATTTTACATTTGATATCTGTACCTTCGAAGTCGATAAAATTAAAGCTGACAGAAAGGATATGACGAAATAATGTGTAATATAACGAAATGAAATATCGTCCAAGGAGAGTATTTTCTTCTATTTCTTGTTCTTTTATTTACTTGTTTCTTCGAAGCAATGTTTTACCCGTATACATTTATATTGAATAAACTGACGTTCAAATATTTTCGTCGTTATACATACATACATACATACATACATACAT